TCATGTTTCGATGGTTTGCTTTGAGCAAATCCAAGGAGGAAGTCCTGCAAGAAGCAGAAGACTTGTGCTGCCACCCCTTTGGGCATCATGTAGCCCAAGCCATCCTGGAGCATGGCAGTCAAAAGCACCGCGATGCAGTAGCGGCCACCATTGATCGGAACCCCTTGGGGTTTGCCAAGAACCAGAATGCCAGCTATTTGGTTGAGAGGGTGTTGACATCTTGCTCTGACTACTATCAGGAGTCCTTGCTCTTTGAGTTGTCTTCCTCTTTGGTTGACCTAGCGCTTTCTCGCTATGGTTGCTACGTGGCCCGAGCCGTTGTCGAGCACCCGAAGACAGACCGCAAGCTGGAAATGGCCAAGTTGACCGCTGTGCGTCAGGAATTGAACAAGACCAAGCATGGACAATATCTCATGGCAGATGTGGGTCTTAGTCTGTTGAAGGGATCCAGAAGGCTCAAATGATTTCAGTCCAAATGGTCGACAGCCACCCTTCCATCACCATAAAGGTGATTGTCTTCCCACGGTGACGTAACCAGATGCAGTGGCTTCTCTACAGTGTAAGCTTAGGCTTGTGCATGCTTTTTGCGCAATGGAACGATCGCCCTTTGCGCCTAGTTTTCGGGAAGCTGGAAGGTGCCTTGTTCAAGCCAGGCGCCAGGATTTTGTGCATGGATCTGTACAGGTAGGCATGTCCCGATATGTCTCGTTGAATTCGCATTTTTCAGACCGAATTTGGTCGTAACCTGAACACCGAACGCATTCGCCGATTTTCAGCCGACGGGCCGAAGGGTCGTGGTGGCCAGAGCGGCTTCACAAACAGCCGACGATGCACGCGCATGGTCGAAACAATGTGATGGCCGCTCAAGCAGCGAACAGTAGCCGGAAGATTCTGTAATTCTGAAAGCGGCTAGATGGTCTGTGTTCAAGAGCCAGATCTGTGAGAGATGATTGCAAGGGAGGTTTGGCATGTCAAGCGAGGAATGCACACGAAGACCGCTTGGTTGTTGTTGTTGTTGTTGTTGTTGTTGGCGTCGGTGTTGCTGTTGCTGGTTACTTGTGTGTATGGTCGTCGTCGTCGTCACTGCTGCTGATGATGATGGTACTCCAGGGTCCAGTTTTTCTTTGAATCTTTTTTTGGACAACGACATCTAGGCCGTGTGGAGAGCTCCTGCGCTGCTGTTTGCGGCCGCGACGCACCACGGATGCTCGACTCTCCTGGAAACATGTGGCCGCCTGGCAGGGATTTGGAGCATCCTTGGTTCGTGCTCGTTGGCAGATCCAGTTTTGTGTCTTGGATCGTTTTGGTTACGAACGTTGTGAGGATCCCCCTCTAAGGGCATGTCATCCAACAGGCCGCTCAGTTCTCCTAGACTCCGGCCAGAAGCGGGTCGTTGGTGGCCGGCAGGGGTGCAAGATGGTGCAAGCTTTCATGGGAGGTTTGGTCATGTAGACTGATTGATCACTTCTCAATTGAATTGAAAAGCCTCTTCATCTGGGGCGGTCTATCGATCCTTCAAGGCCTGGCTGTTGCACAACTTCCGCGAGGCCGTTGGTGCTTGGATGCCCAGGCGCGGTGGATGGAGCCGGGGTGCTTTGGGTCATTTGGATCATTGGGTGCCCATTGGCCGTAGTGGGCCGTGTGTACTACATGGTTCCTTTGAGATGACCTGGACTCGAAGTAACTTGACAGAGAGAGGCGGGGTCCATCCTACTGCACCTCATGTTGCGGGCTTGTTGAATTTGCATAATTTTTCGGGTTCTCATGCTCCAGCAGTCTCCCAGTTTCAGCACCGCAAGGATCAGCTTCAGGGCTGGCATCCGTTGCCCCAGCTGCGTGGCTGGCCATGCTCACGCTGCTGGGCTGTGTGGTTGGACCACGTTGCCAGTGGTGATTCAAACACTTAGCCCAGCACAGTGCGGAAGAGAAAGCAACTAAACAGTCTGGGAGATTTGAGCCACAACCTCAACCACCCAATCCTTGGTGAAGGTTCTTTCAAACCACGGGGCCCTTGAGGTCCTGGAGCTCCACAACGTCCTGCGCGACGAAGACCTGGCTGTGTGCCACCGATCTGGCGGCCCGGATCTGACGTCCTGGCGGCCCATCGAACCGTGATGGGCGGTGTGGTGATTTGGAAGGTGATGGTGTCCCTCAGTTAACCCTCAGGAGTACACTGCCGTCCTTGGGTTGTCATGTATTGATACATGTATACAGTTAAAGGTTTTTTTCATACTACACAGACCCTGCGGCTGTTTTTGGGTCAGCCAAGTCACCCGCTTGCACCAGGTGACTTGCTGGAGGATCTGCCAAGTTGGCTGCTGGACTGGCGGCAGCACCTGCAGCGGACACAGCATCTGGGCGAGTTCAAACGGCTTCACAGCTGGGATTTTCAACATCTTCCACACGAAAAAGAACGTGAAATCCGATTGATTGGGTCTTTTGATGGGGTCTCAGCGACTGTTCTCGAGACCCCATGGATCATCCAGCAACATACCTTCACAATAAAGACACCAACATTTTGCAGAGAGGGCCGCAAGCTCTGGTCTGTGAACGGTCCTGTTCAGGCCCGGCTCACCTCGGGCATCTCTGAAAGTGGAGGAGGAGGAGAAGACACCTGGCCGGCATTATCTTCTTTCTTTTTTTTTCTCTCTGGCGGCTGACAAGAGGGGCTTCACACACGCACACACACACACATGTTCAGTAATTTTTCAGTTGCGCACACACAGATAATTGTTTTGGGTTTTGCACATAGAACTCCGGCCAAATGGCCAAAACACCTCCCAGCAATGTCTGAGTGGCCCTGACCTCCCTTTCTCATGATCGACTGCAGTCCATTCTTCCACACCGATCCCGGAACCCGATCCACCGGCCCACGATCTGAAGCGAACCATACTACTGGTACAGGTACTGGTCAGAACGGGCCACTAGCCGAACCAAACGTCCAATTCGCCGAACTCATGGCTGGCTCTCAGGATGTGGACGCCTCGATTGCACTTGGAGTACCTCTATGCCTCGCCCCTGGACGTGGCCTCCTTGGATGTGCGCGCCGAGATCGAGGCCTTGGCGCAGATCGCCCACGTGAACCTGCACGCGCCTGGGCGTGGCATGCGAACGAACAGATAGAGAGAATTGAGAAGCCGAGCGACTGTGTAGAAGGAGCAGCTGTGGAGGTGAACATGGATCCACAGATCGGTTGAGTGACTTTGAAGTGGAACGCTCCACAGGGTGGATGCCATGTTGTTTTCGCCCGCCGGGAAAGACAACAAGGCCGAGTCTTGTTCCTGGGAGCTTTTGCGAAGGGTTCTTCCGTAGGAAGGGTTTGAATGAAGCTACTTCTAGAGTTGCTGCGGTAGTACGGCGCTTGCTAGTGCTGCAGTAGAATTGCTTTGGTGCTGGGGTCTTGCTGTTGGGATCTTGCTTCAGTAAACAGACCTGCAAAAAAGTAGCTCATGTAACTCTATATAGGCGAAATGCGAATTGGCGTTGGGCTGGATGAGCCCTTTGTGGAGATTGTGCGTGTCGAGTGCCCGGTGAACGTCGGTGACGTCTGTGAACGCGCAGAGCAGAGATCATGTGTGTTGAGCTGCCGAAGTGTGTAACATTCGTCAGAAATGGCGCAAGCTGGAAGTTGTTAGAGTGTGTAACTGTCCTCGAATGTCAAGGTGGAGGTTGCCAAAGCGTGTAACCGTCGTTGGACACGCATTCGTGGAAGTTGCCCACGTTCGTCGAGAACAAAGGCGGTGTGTTGCGGGAAGCAGGCCAGTTTGTAGTAAAAATGTCGCCCAGAACTGGCAACTTGATGGTCCAACGGTAGTACGGGAAGCGGCCTGTGGGAGCTCTTCGAAGTGGCAAGTTTGCAGTGCAAATGAAGTGCGCCTGGCCTCATGCATGTGTAAGCACGGCATGTCCCAACGAGCGGGATGGGCGGTGTCCACCGGTGGACGGTGTAGCACCACCAGACGCATGCGACCAGCAAAAAGAGGTGGGACCGAGACAGGGACATATTGAACTTTGTTTCTATGCGTGTGCTTCAACGCTCCTGGGGCATTCGTTGTCGAGTTGTTTGACACCCTAGGCAGTCTATTGCAAACATATGTATGTGCAGCGGTAGTTTTTTATTTTTAAATCAATCAGTTCCACCGTGATTCCACAGGCAGGACTTCTCACACCTGAGGTGCGCACGGCCACCACCGAAACGCTCGCCGAAGTGTGGAGGAGTGAGTCCTTGACCGTTGAACGCCCCGCATCGTTCGAACGTCTGTTTTCTTCGTGTTTCATCGTTTGGGTTCGAAGAAAAGACGTACAGAGTGCTGTTTTTGTTCCCTGGCCTTTGTTTCAGTTGGCATTCGTTTGACCTCTCCAGCCCCCAGAGCCAGCCTGGCATGCCTGGCGCATGCAACGCTTCAGGACGGAGCGGGGCCCGAGTCCTCGTGTGCTGGTTCTGGCCGCCCATTGTGTTTTGTCGGGCCCGGCGCGGCCATCCCTACTGCTGGAAGACACCGTGGGCCGCATGGTGGAACACATTGACCTGGCGGGCCGGAGGTTGGGCCTGGTTAAAGCCTTCTAAGCCACGCTGGACAGGGAGACTTGGTGTCGCTTTTCCACCACATTTTCTTCCAATCCAGCACCAGTTGCCCTGTCACAACTGGTTTAGAGTCAAAGTGGTAGGTCTCAATTGTGAGAAGCACGCTCAGAAAACTCATGCCCTTTTTGGTCCCGGAACCTGTGCGTTGAAGTTTTTCCTGTGAAGCGGGGCATCGTGCGCAAGGCTCACTTCGGGGACGACCTTCCGTGTGCTTTCGTCGCCAGAACCCACCGCACCTCAAAGGCTCCCAGCACGTGCGCCCACCGCGGCCGCCGCCCCGAGGCCACGCGCATGTGTTGGGCGCTCCCGACTTGGACGAGTTGTTGGCCTTGAACGGCCCAGAGGTGGCAGCGGGTGGGAAGCATGGCGCCTCGGCGGGGGGAATGAAGTGTGTAGAAAGAAGAAGAGCGGCCATGCAGATGTAGGGGTTGGGCCCTGGCAAGCTGAATTGGATGTAGCGTGATGTAGCATGATGCAGACGGTTCCAGCACACACACACACACACACACACACACACACACACACGCATCCTGGGGAAACTGAATGCACCAGGACTGATAGGATTCACGCAGTTGAATGGTGGGGCACTGTGTCAGGAAATCCTCTGAAGATTGCGGACATGTCTCGTGTTCCAAAAGCAATGTAAAAGGTGCACTACAGGTGAAAGACTTCATTGTACTGGACTCAATCAGGCAAAGGACAAGGTTTTACTGGGTCTTTGAACCTGTAGAGTTGCATATTGCAATAGGCAAACAGGCAATAGCCCACAAAACTGGCAGTCTGTTTTTGGGGGGATGGGAGAATTGCCCTGTGCGGCAAGCTCGAGTGCAAAAGATATATGGCACACCGGCATGCCCATCTTGAACAAACGGTATGGGATAATCCTGGGATTTATACACACTTAGATGGTTGCTCGCAAGAGCTAGTATCAGTACGAAGTCCCACTTTACACGCATTAGACCTGGACTGGAAAAGAATGCAAACAGAAAGGCGGCGAGTCCGAGAACTTGAAGATGTTGAACAGTTTTGTTTGAACCTGGGTGAAACGTGGTTAAAATTAGCAGGTACAGTACACAGTCAGGCGTCTCTGACTCCTTCCCATGACATCACTAGCTTCGTTGGCCAGCATCGTGATGTCATGCGCTGGCCCCCTGCCTCTTCTTCTGCGTTAAGAGACTGTAAGTTAGTAGCGATACCAGGAGCCCTTAGTAGCAAGACCCCTGCCTCTTTTCCTGCGTTAAGAGACTGTAAGTTAGTAGCGATTTCAGGAGCCCTTAGTAGCAAGACCAGGGGCCCTAGTAGCGTCCTTTACGACTCAAAACCTTAGGCACAGGTGTGGACACACACACGCACGAAGCCGTACTCGGCGCGCTGACCCTGGCTTGCAGTTAAGTAGCGTAGCCAGGAGTCGCTAGTAGCGTCCTTACAACCTGGTAGTACCGTCCTAGCTCCTGGTAGCGAGGCCAGAAGCCCCTAGTAGCGTCGTTGGTGTCCGCCGGTCGCAAAACTTTGTACACATAGCGCCAATATTGGCGCGTTTGTTGAAGACTACTAGCGACCTAAAAAGCCTTAGAAAGACAGAGAAAGCAAACAAAACAAAAGCAGACTAAGAGGGCAAGAAGGAAAGATAGGCGTAGTTACGAGGCCCACTTAGTTAAATGAAAGTAGAACGCGAGCGGGACCTTTTGTCTTAAACCGCCCGGGTAGCTAGCAATAGAGTAGGAGAAACGGAAGGAAAGGCACCAACACACAAGTGTGTTGAGTGCGATTTCCTTCCGTTGCCCGAATAGCGGGTGGGATAGCAACCGAGGCCCAGGGGTAGGGAGGTGGGGGGGAGGGTGGGTTAGGGTGGCCTGTAGGCCTTGCCAAGTTTAGCCGATTTGGGCCGGCACTTCTCTGAAAGACACCTGGAACCATCTGGAACCTAAAGAAAGGCCTCAAGAAACGAAAAGCAACAAAAGGAGAAAGAACCGAAGAGCATGAAAAACATGTAGCAAAAGCACAGTGCGTAAACCCGCCTGTGAATACTTAGATGCATGTTTGCATGTGAATCTCAGGTGGGAATCACAGAGAGCCCTGCGGCATAAGATCAGTGGTATCGTGCAGCACGGTCGATCAGGAGTAAGAATCACAGTGAGCCCTGCGGCATGAAATCCCCCAGGATCTGGGTCTATGCACATGCTGCGCCCCTTGACGGGGATCACACCACAGCCCTCAGTGGGACCCTCTGGCGAAACACACTTAGATGGTTGCTCGCAAGAGCCAGTATCAGTACGAAGTCCCACTTTACACGCATTAGACCTTGCCTGGATAAGAATGCAAACAGAAAGGCGGCGAGTCCGAGAACTTGAAGATGTTGAACCGTTTTGTTGTGTTTTGTTTGAACCTGGGTGAAACGTGGTTAAAATTAGCAGGTACACAGTCAGACGTCTCTGACTGCTTCCCATGACATCACTAGCTTCGTTGGCCAGCGTCGTGATGTCATGCGCTGGCCCCCTGCCTCTTCTTCTGCGTTAAGAGACTGTAAGTTAGTAGCGATACCAGGAGCCCTTAGTAGCAAGACCCCTGCCTCTTTTTCTGCGTTAAGAGACTGTAAGTTAGTAGCGATTTCAGGAGCCCTTAGTAGCAAGACCAGGGGCCCTAGTAGCGTCCTTTACGATTCAAAACCTTAGGCACAGGTGTGGACACACACACACACACATATATATGTATATATATATATATACATATCAATACACACATATTTCCACTACTCTCAGAACGCTTGCCCCTCAACACTAGCTAAGGCACCCCCATCTTTGACGTCGTGGTGGTCGATGCCTGTCACTCTGAGCCGCTGGCCAATCGCTTCGTGGAGGGCGGCGCCACCTGCGCCATCGGCTGTGCCGGTCACGTGGCGCCATCGGTGGTGCTTTCTCCGGCCGCTTTCAGAAGTCACATTCCCCCTTTCAATGGCATGGCCCCCGTAGCATGACCAGATCCCGCAAGGTTTCTCTATTTTTTTTTCTCTCCTGTTTGTCTCTGTTTTTCCCGAAAGCATTGCGAAGGGTTCTTCCGGAAATCCCTTGAACACTGACACTTCGACACTTACACTTACACACTGACACTTCCACCACACTTGCACTACAACATGAACGCTATGCGTACCGCAGTGTTACGTACCCCAGTGTATATAAGTGGAAGAGCGAAAGCATCCAAGTGCAAAGTGTAATGATGAGCATGCAAGCATGCAATGAGTATGCAAGCATGCAATGAGTAGGCAAGTGTGAGCATGGAAATAGGCAAGTGTGAGCGTGGAAAACTAGCACGGGAGATGTCCTAATGAAAAACATGTCCCCACTTTATAAATTCTCTCTTAAAGGCGGAGGGTGGGACGAACAGCGTCAACCGAAAGTGCAACCCTCTGCGGAGATCGTGCGTGTCGAGTGCGCGAAATGCAGGCGAGAGCGCGATTTGTCCGGTGCCCGTGCAACCCTCTGCGGAGATCGTGCGTGTCGAGTGTGCGAAATGCAGGCGAGAGTGCCGCGCGTCGGCTGCCCGCGCAACCCTCTGCGGAGATCGCGCGTGTCGAGTGCGCGAAATGCAGGCGAGAGTGCGATT